TGGACCCCCTGCCAGGGTACCCCAACGCGGTGATCGCAGCGCAGGTGCGGCGGTATGTGGCATTCCTCAACACCGTGAAACACGGATTCGAAATCCACCTGGAGGAGGAGACACTGCCATTAATCGAAGTCCCCGTGCCACGGCAATACAACCAGGTTGACTGCGGAGTGCTCGCGCTCCAAAACCCAGAGCGATACCTCAGGCAAGGCGGGGCTAGTTGGAACCCCCTCGCGCTCCCTAAAACTTGGAGTACGGGAGCCAAGGCACCACAAACCCGAATAAAAATAGCAGCGTTGCTGCTGGAACTAGCCGCCACGAAGGGAGGAGCCCGGGTCAGCGCTAAAGAACCCGTCGACGCCGCAGAGGTCGTCTTTACTCCCACGAGTTTTACACTTTAGGATAGCTCGTAAACTATAGTCCAAGCTATAAGGTAAACTTTCATTTCCACCATATTAAGAAGTTACTCTTTAAGCATTAGTATGCAGAGGGATATTACTCTTTAGTCATTAAGTAAGCGCCCTGGTGAAAGCTCCCACCACCAACGTGCTGGTGTGGAAGCCAACCGCCATCAGCTTTCATATGTTCAACAGCAGCCAAACCTACAGGTAAATTAAGAACTTTTAACATATACATTTATGTAGTAGTTCGTTGCCCTGTCCGTCCGGAACGAGCTACTTAAGGTAAGAACGTGCACTTGCATCATTGCCTTATCGATTCTCTGCTGGAGAGGATATCATAGGCCCAAAGCTAACTACTGATTAGCAGTTGGGTATTGTCCGTCGGAAACGGGGTTCTCACGGTAACAGACGGCGCATCAGTGATCAGTGGTCCGTTGCTGTGTCCGTCCAGAATGGTTTTCGCAAGTAGCAGCGTACGTTTGAATTACCTTATAGACTACCGGTCCGAAAGAACATGCTAGGAACTCTACCCCTTTAATGATCAACCTCGCCTGCTGAGCCAGTAAAATATTTCTTGCAGATCATACGCGACAATTTATTCATGAAAAATCAACTTCGGCTACGCGCAGTTGACGTTATACACTAGAACTTCCCTTTTTCTCCTAATTAAATTTATCTTCGCTACTACATAACTACGTAAATTGTGTTTTGTAAACTGCTCAGTGAGCCTGCGGTAATAACAATAGGCCTAGCGATAGTCTTGCTACATCCAATCTAATACACAAAACTACATACTATAACGATAACAAAAGAGTTCTTTTTGTTTTAATAAGAAAATTTCTTGAAGCGCACAGCTGGGTAGCCATGATGCAGTTGGCAGCCAGAGATATCTGTTACAGATGGCGCCCGATCAAGGAACTTCAGATAATACGTGAAGAGAAAAAAAAAACAAACAAAAAAAACATGGCGCGTACCTCTTGGATCTACAATCTCAAGAAGTAAGAGCTCACTGCTGTTTGTGGAGAACTCGGCCTGAAGAACTTAAAAACGATAGAGAAGATGTGAAAGGTGTTTGAAATAGTAGCAGGCTTTACACAACAAAGAGACAATTGAACGTCTCGAGACACTAGAAGACAAATATATGCCCCGCACAACGCTAACAGTTGACCACACCGGATGTCAAGCTTGCAGCCACAGGGGGATTGTTAGTCTCACCCATTAAAAACGTAATCGACATTGGGAAGATTTTTTTGTGGAGAGAGAAGAAGGAAAAAGTGATTTTGCAAACCAAAAAAATAAAACGTGTGCGGACGGTTTAAAATAGCTAAAAAGTTAAGTCATACATTCAAAGATTGCAATAAAATAAGACTGTAATTTCATTTGTAAAAATTTCATTTGACGAAAAGACAATATGCTGAAAATATACAACATAAGAAACTGTAAAGGAAAAATAGAATTAATTTCCACGCTCATCCAAAATGAAGCGTATTGCATAATAGTATAATAAACTGCCTTATGCAATTGATTTTCTATAAATACATCTGCTAGCCATGTAAAGAGATTAGCAATTACATACCTACTATTATAGACGTACATTTAATAATAATGTGTTGTACGATAACGTTTAGAGAGCAAGAGATTCAAAAGATTGCTGCCAGTGATTTGAAAAAAAACATACATATTTTATCTACATCTATAAGTATATTTTATATTCGATCCATACGCAGTAGTAATCTTCATATGATAGCATAACCTCTCTCTCCTTCTGCCAAAGAAATGGTGTACTTCTCAGAATGCTAAGATCGCTCGGATATTTCCACTCTAGCCAAAGCAAATAGTTGTCGAGGTGATATTGCAAAACTGAAATCTCGCCCTGGAGACTTGTCTATCGCGGACACCGGCCACCGGCCACTGGATGCGCTAACAAACAGCGAGGATAGTTAAATGTCACTCCATGAACATATCAGCAATGGAGTCTGAGCCCGCACAAAGGAAAAGGTCTTAGACACAACTTTTGGTGAAGGACATTATTACTTACGATGCTCTATTGAGCTCACAAAACATCCACGCATCACATTATCACATTTGCAAATTAATACCGCCGAGTTCTATTGAGCCTCACAAAATAATCACCGACGATATTATCACATACGTCCACTTAATACCGCCGAGCTCGATTGAGCCACACAAAACAACTAACGATGATTTCGTTACGTTCGATCAATTGCCATTGTCGGCCCTCTATGAACCACACAAAGCAGCGGCCGTCAACAACAGGTACTTCATGCCAAGCCCCAAATGAAAATAGTGTATGCCTTTGCTCCGTGAACCCGTTGAATTTGGATAAACCAGGCAAAACTGCCGAAGAATAGTTGCCTACCGATAGCGCAAAACTTTTTCCACCAAGATATAATGATCCCGGATGGCAACCAAATTTCCAAGCACAGGCAAACGTAGATGAGCTTTTGCCCCACGAAATGTTATTCGGTATCAGACCGTGAGAGCCAGATCTGGAGTGCAGCAGATGTTTATTCATTTCCGACGTGAGGGAGGGATGTAAGGAAAGAGCCACTGCAAACACAGAAGACATTGCTGTTTACATTCTAATATCATTATCTGCATATAACTTTACATTGTTTTATTAAACTGTAAATTTGAGCTAAATCCTACATTTGAACTTCTGTACTCTGTTAATAGTTTTGTTTACTCGATATGTTTCTTTGATTGACACTGTAGCGCAACCCTGCATAATCTCATTTTGCAGCCTTCCTGAAGCTACTCCCTAAGCTTTAGCATGCAAATGGTATAGTAAGTCAACAAACCTCGCGGTGAAAGCTCTCGGTATCAACGTGATGGCGTGGCAGCCAACAGCTATAAAAGCAGTGCACAAACGGCGATCGTCTCTTCACGTGTTCAGCAGCAGCCAAACCAACAGATCATACGCAACAATTTTATTCTTAAGTTAAAAAAAAAGTAGAACAAGTATTCATTCCGATAACACTAATATACATCACTGACAAGCAACTACGCATATTCCTGTGAAATCCTACGCCTAGAGAAATCCTACACACATTTGCGAGATTCAGGGCTTGAAATTTATAAGTTGGATTGACAAATTTTCTAAATTCGCGAAGATAGTTGAAATAAGGAATCGATGTGCAATTCGCAGAAGAAGTAAGCTTACCGGCATGATTATGTCGAACACTGAGCGGACATTTTTAACGCCAACCATTTTAAATTTTTTAAGATCGCTTGGAATTAGGATTTATTTTACGCCCGCACAAGGGCGCAAGGCAAATGGAAAGGTGGAAAGATTACACGCAGAAATCTTCCGATTTGTGTCGAAAGAAACATAGAATCTCGGGCAAACTGACAATTCCTGCAACTCGGTCATAAAAAATAAATCATCGGACATTTTTTTTAAACATAAATAATTTTTTTAATTTTTTTTTTTTATTAATATTTTTTAAGTCAATAAAGATTGGTTATACGCCTGGCCATATAAAATGGTTCATTTTATATCCTATGGATCAGATATACAGAATTTTATTTAAATGGTTTTATTAAATATTTCTGCGTGTACACCGGTGATATCCGCAGAGGATCCACCTTGTCCCGCTTTTCTTTTGTTTATTTTTAAATGGTTTGCCTGACATAATTCAACAAGCGAATATATTAATGTATGTATTCTACTCCTCACACAATTTTGAAGGTTGAATATTAAAAAGCCAAATGTCTTTCAATAGAGGGTCTTTCATCACCTTCAATTATAAGTTAAATAGTGAGATTTTGGATTCGGTGTTATCGTTTAGTAATCATTAGATATGCTTTACTCACTTATTTATTACAATTTCTATTAATAAATGCTTACTCCTTTCCAGATGAAATAATAAAAATGGAAAGGAATAAAAAGCGTCGTACCAAGCCGAATAGGTCTTCTAGAAGGAAGAAATCCAAATCTAGAAGGATGAGATGGGTAACGAAGAAAAAAAAATGACAATGGAAAAGTGAGTAACTTATTGATATATTTACTTGAAATAATTTTTATTTAACAATTCTACTTTACTGGCAATATTCGCGTAACAATTTGTAATAAGAACGCATCGGCAAAAACACTTTTGGAATGTCCCCAAAAAACTGAAATCATATAAAAGAATATCTTCACTTTCTTGAAATAAATGAAGCTAAACTGGTCTAAAAGCATGTTATTAAAAAAAAATAAGTAAAAAGAAAGAAAAGCTAACACAACAACAGCAAATTAAATTATAATTATAGGTATAACAAATATTCAGGCATCTTTCCCTCTTTCCATAAATTTCAAAAGAAAAAATTTTAACATTTTTGTTTTCAAGTTAAACAATTTTCTCTTCTCCGCAAAAAAAAACAAAAATGAAAAAGTAGAACACAATTGTGTAAAAAAAGAAATGATAAAAAAGCATAGGCAAATAACGTATGCGTCTATGCAATTATTGCAATTAATAACTGACTGACTGACCCAATTTTTAATTTACGTGGCATTTTTAACATTTACAAAAGAAAAAAATGTGCTGCTGTTTTTGCTATCCTTTTTTTAATATTTTTAACTGAAACGATCTAAGTTACCAGAACCACCATCTTTAAAATATTTCATCAATTTTTAGCCATTAAAACGTGTGTATACAGTTACATGAAAAAAAAAAAAATACGCAAAAAAATAAAAATAGGCAAGCAAATAGCAAACCGCATAAAAATTATTGTGAAGATTTTTTGTTAGTTATTGTTGTTACTATATTTGTTGTTGATATTTGTTTATGAAAAATGTTAAAAATCATTTCCCAATTACAAGACAACTCCTTGATACGTTGGTTCATTTCATTTTTTTATATGTGCTTAGTAATTAATACAGAAGGGGCACCTCAGTCTGGTTTTACCATTGGCTTTAACAAGAGCAAAGAACGGTTCTTTTTTGCATTCCTTTCTTTTGCTTTTACAAAATGTAACCATGTGGCAGTGACACGTAAGAAATAATGAAAGAGAAGAGAGATAGAAAGTCCGAACTCCGTCTCTGTGTCAAAATGGTAGGTTTCCGACTAGAAAAAATTTTAACAATATTATATATTATATTTTAGTAAGGGGTGGTAGACCCCGAAATAAAGAGGAGAACACACCTATTTGTACTTCGCTTATGTATTCCTGATATTCAGGAATATTTTGATGTTTATTGGCGTAAGGAAAGGTTTTAAAGGTGAATTGAATCAATGAAATAAATAAATAAATAAGCGTTCGAATCGCTACAGGGAATGCTAATGGCTTTTCCAATCAGATCCATGATGTTGAAATTTTTCTTCATGAAAATTTTATCTCAGCATCAATAACCGCCAATTACCTCTAGCTGGTCATGCAATTCTAGTGAAATCAACTATTGGATATAACACTTCGAACATCTTTATAAAATCATTTTTACAATTCTCGTATTTAAATAAATTGCTCCGGTTCCCTGATATTTCAATCTGCGCAGCTTATTTCCCTTCTCGATTTTTATTAAAACGAAGTAATAATAAGTTGTGACAACTACTCTGTCACGTACAGGCCGTTTGATCTGATGAAAATGTGTCTATCATATAATCATCCTTATCCAACTTAACTGATTTACTTATGTTCCTTAAATTATTTTATTAAATTTCTTAAGTTTACGTGAATCTTTTCGCAGCGGCGTTTACTGTGTTTTAACACCATAATGTGTAATACGCGAACAAATACACACAAGAGGCAGGTAGCGCTTTAATGCAATCACGCCTACCGAAAGAAAAAACCTCTATTGCGTATCTTTTAAAGGCTGCGAGGATTTTAGGAAATTACAATTAAAACGAATAATATAGTAAAAATAACCTCAAATCAGGAGTAAACTTTGCAAACAAAGTCAAAAAAAAACAATACGTCTTCCAAAATTAATGGCTAAAATTTAGTTTATCTAATTCATTTATGGATAAATTAAAAAATATGTTATTAAGTGTAACCAAACAAATTGTGAACTTACAAGAACGACACTATGCGGGACCGTAATAGCCGCTAGCCTAGCTAAGAACATAAATACTAAAAGCCTAAAAATGTTTCAGATAAATGTAAATTCAATCAAAAGAATTAGTCAAAGATATGACCTTCAAAATTTAGTAGACATTGTAGTGTGCTCATACTCATTACAGTTGACGTATATTATTTCACCACCTAATAGAATTATACACAGACCCATTTAGCACATTCACAATTTTTACGACTCTCGTAGCATTTCGGCCAGCTCCATCGTAATTGGCACATACACAGCAATAGTGTATGCAATAGACGAAAATAAGAAAAGTAGCATTTCAGCATTTATACTTTTTTTCCCAAAATAATTATAAATATGGCGAAGCAAGCAATCTTAGATCAATATACACTGAATTAAAAATTGTATATAAATAGTCAAAATCAGTTCTGGAAACTAATTTGGATGAATAACTTAGCGGTTATGAGTGAGTGACGACCGACTTGGTATCGAGAGTCAAGGCGCCTCCACGTCCGTATAGACAGACGATTATTTTCGTCTCCCCTTGAAAGAGAGCTTTGCGAATAATATACCAGGAACTCCTTGCAACTTACACAAACCAGATATAGTTCTATTAAATGAAATAAGGTCACCTCGACCTCACGTAGTTGTCGGATATCTCGCCGAAGGAGAAAACGTTGAACCGAAGGACATTCTAAAATTTTTTAAAGGCCAGAAAAGGGATCAAATATTGAATATTGAAAGTTACTCCAGAAAAAGAAAGGAGGAACACAACGGTCCTAACCTTAGCAGTGGACAAATCTTCGGCAGCAGTGCGGAAGAAGAACCAACATGTGGCTAACTACGGCTTCGATTCAGTCTCACTGAGATCCAGCAGCAAAATCACAGAGACACGCAAACACGAGACGACCGCAGTCGATGACCGAAAAGGCCCATCGGCCTAACAACAAGTGAAGGGACCGCAAGGAGACACAAGGATAAAAAAACCCCGCAGCGGCACTTCAGGTAAGCCTTCAGGCCCGGTTCCTCAACGGCTCCGAAAACCCAGAGACTGCTAGCTCGCAGATGCATGCCAACAAAGGGCGAAGTTATGGTAGAGCAAGCTGCACTCCGCAGGAAACAGACGCGCGCCTCAAACTTTGCTTTTGGGCGTTGCCTTAAGCAGATAAAACAGGTGCACTCAAATCAACTTCCACTATGCCCAAGACGGCTCTTCGGCTCTTAGCATAAAACGAAGGTCAGGGCTTAGCCCTCTTCCAGGAGTCGTAGATAAATACGGACGCTGTTCGAGCGTTGTGTATCAAGAAAGGTAAGTTGGTTTACAATATCCACACGATGTAGAGCGGTCTTGCTCGTTGGAGATCGTATAACCTTTTTTTCGCTGTCAGAGTTCATAGTAGGGGTCTGGTGGCGGTTTGGGTTGCAACGCCACTCTCCGTTGAGGACCGATCAGTGGTAATAGCCTTCGCTTGCCTACCTCGCGAGGCAAATATACCCACAACCGAAGTACGGAGCCTTGTCCAGTACTGGCCGTCGCACAGAATCGACTGACTAATCGGACGTGATGCCAAAGCCAGCCATATTATCATAAAACTTGTGTTGACTAAATACTGTTATGATAGAGTCTTCAAGGTTATAAAAGATTCTGTTAACATTTTACTCACGACGTTTATACTACTAGTACCTTGAAGAAATGTTAATAAAAAAACTATATTGATACATAAGTTTTTTCACCGTTACCTAATTTCATTTTTTTACAAAATAAGTGATATTATTACAATTTATTTTTGCCCTTTTGTTATGAATTTAGAATTATTGCATTGTCGCCACAGCTAAGCTAGAGTTTGAGGACAAATTTTAAAGACCTCCGCTTTGGGGCTCTTGCGCTCAATTATCGCTGCGATAGCAATGACAAGATGTTATTATTTCATAAAAATGTTACCAGAGCTACTACAATCACCATTAATGACTGAAAGACGAGCCGTGAAATGGCGCGATTAACAAAATTACCCCTAAGTCTCTAATCTACCATCTTTACAAAACTCACGCAGGAGACGGCTCTCTGACAATTCATTCGCCATTGACTTGGCTTTTCTTATTACTTTTAAGAAGATTCAACTTTTGTTCAATGTATACATTCTATTATAACTAGAAGTGAATTACTTAAGTTGTTTATTGTAAAAACAAAAACATTTCTTAAATTATTCGATTTTCTGCTGCAAAATTTCCATAACCGGTTTTACTTGTAAACTTATTTATGCAAGTTTTCAAAATGCCTCCATTTTCATTTAATTGGATACAAATTTAAGGGAAATAGGTTTAGAGGTTTGTTGGTGTTTTCTTAGTTTAGTGAAAATTAAACCTATTACAGTAAAATAAAAACTGAAAAAAGTTACCTGAAAGTTGGAAGGAGAAGTTACACAGCCATATTTCGATTAACTTTGAACAAAAAATCGTCAATTTCAATTGTAGTGTTGCCATTTGCAACACGATGTGCCAATAAGTGCAGCTGCGGACCGCCGAACGTTTTCGAAGATCGCTGACCACAAAAGCTCCCATCACTATTTTTCGATGGCGCTCAGCACATTAACGAGGAGTAGCTGGTTCAAGTGTCCGTTCGTCTAGAAACATGTCTGCTTAAGAAGTCCACTTACACATGCCCAACAAAGTCGTATCACGAAATGTTGTTTCAATACGACCAAACAAAGTCGTGAATGAAGCTGGATTTGCCGACATTTACTTTTCATCCCAATATTTTCAACAATCATCTGGAGATACGAAAGGCTCCACATACATATCTGCAAAGTTTAAATAAGCGCTGTATACTAACCTTAATTTTTCATACTTCGCGTGACGAAGACGCTGTTTATTCCACATTATAAAAGGTTACGATTTTTAATCTTGATCCGGAATCAGCACCAGTTTTTCTTCTGCTTAATTTCTTACAAAATATACATTTTCGGTTATGATATTATAAGAAGTTGGATTATGCAACGAGAAACGTCTGGTTGTGGAATAGTTTTAAGTTCATGTCACAATATAAATTGATGAAGGAAACTCCTGGTTGCCTATGTTTATCTTTCATAAATCTTTCTTAAATGTTTCATCTGATATCAATAAATTTATAGAACGGCTTTTAGTGGCGGTCCACGTACACATACCGCAACAACTGCTACTTATCCAAAACGCTTAATCCAGCAGTGATCAGCAACGGGCGCAATTGCTTGTTCATTTGAAAAGGTGGGCTTATGCCTCTGTTTCATGCCGGGTTGATAAATGGGAAGTTTTTAAAGATCTTGTTGCGACACCAATATCATAATAGTGGCCGGCTTTCCCCATCTATCGTCTTATTTTCAACGCTTTCATTTAGAAACTTAAATGTTGAAGAAACGTATCTATTTCTTTTCCCACAAAAAATAAGAATTCCAAGGAGTCAGACTTTTACACACAGCGAACGAAATCTTCAGACACTTCACAACGAATTGCTATAGTATATGAAACGCAACAGAATTGAAGCAACTCACGTTTTTCGTGTAGATCTTGTTAGAATGAAAACATTTATCTCTTTCTTTCTTTCAGTTCTGTTTTGACCGGAACAATGCATACCAATTTTGAAATATTTATAGATACTCGGATAATGCGCTAAGAATCTCGTGCTATGCAAGTTTTTAACACGCAAATAGTTACATGATCGTGAATGCATTCGTAGATAAAATATAGGAAAATTATGCTTTTAGTAATACACATAAAAAGCAAGGATCTTCAATTCAACTTGCCTCTTTTCCGAAACCACGTTTATATAAAGTTAACAAGATTTATTTCACAAAGAAAGAACCTCCTTCTTGTAAAATTGAGCATTAACAAGGAAAGGTAGCTTGTGTTGTGTAAAAAATGGTCATCGGCGCGGGAAGTTCTTTGCCTGAACATTTATAACCGTATTATTCAATCACTTAATTATCCTTCTTCTCACCTGGTTTTAATTAACTTGTTATGTAGCTAGCATTCAGCGTGGCTTTTGAAAACTTTCGTTGTTTAGTTCACTTATGCACAACAGCTGTGAAATACCCCGTCTCAAGGTTGACACATTACGCGAAAACTCAATGGATCACATCTTGCGTTTGTATCGCTTGTTCAGAGTTGCCAAAGTGAGAATACCAGGAGGTATAAAAGCTAATTAACAAAAGGAATCAAAACAAAACAGAAATTCACCGATCAAAAAAGTTTCAATATTCGAAAGATAAATAAAGTCAACAATTAATCTTTTTATGTTAATCAATGCATAAATATTAGATTGAATGCTTGGACACAAAAAATACACAACCTTATAATGTGTTTTTTTTATATATTTGTGATAGATATATGTATGTATTAATTAGTATTGTTGCATACAGTTTTCTGCAAAATTTTCGAGTATAAAAAGATTGGAGCCGGCTTTAGGAACTACATATATACCGCTGGTAATCCGTTTGTCCATGACTTTGGCGCTGTTGAGTTCTGATTGACTAGAGCAAGTTTCCGGGTGTTTCTTTGGAAGTGGCGAAAAAAATAGAATCTTAACTTAATCGAACATTAGTGCCGAGAGAACAACTTGGTTTTACGGCATACCAGATGGTAAATAAATTTACTTTTAGGTGTGCAATAATAATACTAACATTTCTTGAAGTGATTGGGCGCGTATACACTCAGTCGCATTTATTTTCAAAAGCCCGAACAAGATGGCTTTTCATGAATCAAAAAGAGGAAAATGGCTTGAATGGAATGGTGGCAAGTTAATCTACATATTCGCGTATATTTTCTTATATTTTTATGTAAACGATTCGTTCGTACGGTTTGCCACCCTGAAATGAAGGTAATTGCACTTAATTTTAGATGTCTGGGATGGATCCACGACTCGCATATACGAAGACTCCAATGAAAGGGTTCACATGGGAAACCGTTGGAATGGAGGCCAAAGTAATGCTCAGCTGCTTGGTAAATGTTAAACAGTGAAATAATTTAAAACAGTAAGCATGTTTGTTTTTCAGCAATTTTTAGGTGATAGTGGGAATCCGTTACAGCTGCGGTTTTTGGCACCAGAGAACCAGTGGATTTAATTAAAAAAAACCATAATATTCATTGCAAGCAAGGAATTTTATGGAAATATACAATTATTTATATAAATTGATTTGGAATTATAATCTATAATTACAATCGAATGTTTGTACTCCAATTGATAAGCGCACAGTAATTTTCTTGTGTACAAGTGCAGCCTAATCAGATCAATTACTTATGGTTCCTTGATTGTCAACAAAGCAGGAAGGATGCTAATTGGACGGAAGTTTTCAGAAAAACTTGACGCTGGAGTAATTACTTTCAGGTCGTCAGGGAAGGACCAAGTCGTTATGATGTGGTTTAATATATGAATTAAAGGTAGAACGATATTGGCGTGCGCGACAGCACTTGAATTCACAGACAGCCACTCTTCTTTAGTTGTGAAAGCCCTAAATTGAAACGCTTCACTGTGTCCATATAACGCGTCATAACTCTACACTAAACATCATTTAACCTATCAGGCCAAACTTCATACTTCGGTAGACTGTTTCTAATGCCAAGCTCCGCTAGTTCTTCCAAAGGACCTTAGAAGGAACATTAGCATGAAACTTCTTACAATGATAACGTCTCTTCATACACCTTGATATTATGCGCCCTATTTTTAGATTTTCGAAAAGGTACCCAATTAAACACATTAGGGAGGTATTTTCACTTCCTGTACGCCCCATTACCAAGTGTGGTTGCGCTTCTAACTTTTCCGCTAAGCACGAAATAACCAACTCCACGGGACACATCATTTAGGCGCTTCAAGCTAATTGACTTAAAATCTCTATAACTAAAAGACATCTGGAAAATCGATCATAATCTATAATCAACAAAAAGGCCAGAAGTTAATCAGGGTCAATCCCTAGGATAAATTTGAGTCATACAATTGATTGGTACGAAGATCACCCAAGGATGTTCTCACAGCAAACGAGTATCTCATCCATCGCCCGGGAAGGTCATCCAAGCAGTTATTTCTATGGATTATCTTCGCGTGACGCAAACATTGATTAACGTAACATCGTGACGGACCATGTTATAATATTTGGAAAACTTTTGTCAATGTACGTTCTAAACTATGTTTAAATTGTGCAAAAAACATCAGATGCTAAAGCGTCCAACAAATAATTGAAATGATCAACTTTTGGCTTAGTTAAGCTACACATGTGAGATGACAAAGTTGAAATTCCTTATATGCTTTCCTAACAATTTACAAGGCTATCTCCATGGTAACTTTGCAAGTAGGTAAATACTGCTCATCTCTTATCACTTACCTTCTAATTGACTAACTTTAACTTGTTGAGATAATCTGGACATAGTTATTTCAATAATCATTCAAAAATTTAATTTGCTTTTACATTGTTTATATATATTTATCTGTTGTTTACAGTGCGGACGGATGTAACACATAGAAGGGCTTAGGATAGACCCGCCTTTTATTAAACCGCTCGATTCAAAATCGTAATATGAATTGATCTAAGCATGTCCGTCCGTCTGGTGTCTGTCCATATATATTTGTGTTCAAACTACAGGTCGCAATTCTTGAGATATATTGATGAAGTTTGGTACAGTGAAATGTTTTGACTCGAGAAGAAATTTTTAAAACTAAAAATTTGTCGGCAAAAGTAGCTAAGTAGTACAGTTTTGCCGATCCAAATTGGAATGAAAATTTTGAATCGACTGGGGTAATTTTTGAACCACCTCTTATATGGTGAAAAGCGAAGTTCATGCGACAACTATAGTTTTCAATACTTGGTGATAAAAACTGCATCACATCAAAGAATTAACTGTACACAAACTTGCTTATATTTTGGATCCTATCCTAATAAGGATTTTCACGAAAATTGTTCATTTATAGAGGAGAAACTACGCATAAATAAGCAATTGAAAGATATGCCTGTACATACTATAATCAGAACAAGAATTGTGTTAAACAACGTGGTGTCGGCTTTCCCCGACTGCAATGTTCTGGCTTGTTAATCAAGCTTCAACAAATAATGAAAAGCAAAATTTTAGTCTTATAAAACAAGTTCAAATGTTTTATACACACCCTACATATACTAATATATGTCATTTTATTACCATGCTAAAAATAATGAGAGTGAGAAAGCAACGATAGGTAGACGATTAAATAAAGTCTTTGTCTGACTTACCTGATTGAAACTAGCAATTCCACGAAAAAATAGTAGCAAGGAAGAGCAACGATAAAAAATGTTTGAGATTCTTATAAAAATATATTTTAATTTTGATACATAAGCAGAAAATTATTCCGCAGCACGATCACATAAACCTTATTACATTTGAACAAAAAAGAATCACACGAAGGACCTTTGGATTACAATATTCAAAACAATGTTTTGCAAGGTTTCTCACGGATTTGGAAATAGTATACAAATTTTATATATATATTTTTTTATAACCGTTATAGCAATTTGCTATTCGATCTAAAAATTTCATACAGATTCGTTTACATATTTTTAAACTGAAGAAAGAAGTCGTTAATGGATTATTCTTAATGTAGCCAAATAAACGATGAGTGTTAATAATGCTTGACAATATGACATGTTTCAAGTAATTTATTCGATGGGTTTTTCGATTTCTTGCCTCTAAATCTTTTTTAATTTTTTTTTTTTTTGTGATTTTGAACTGTAAATTTAATGAATACATTTTGTAGGAATATTTAGTGGAGTAAATTTAACTTGTTTTCCTTCAACCTTTTTTATGGTTAGCTCGTTATCAATCAGATTATATTGATGCTTACACAACTTGAAATGTAATTTCCACAATTGGTTCAACAATTCCCTTATTAGAAATTCTATTGTTCTTTTTTATTATTTGAGAAAGCTTAGTAAATCAACGAAAAGTAATTTTTCCTATTCAATAAAAAACATCAATCGAACCATTACAAAATACTCCTCCTCCTGAACATAGTTATTCAGAATTATGCTTATTAACTAATTAATATCCATTATGGCAGAATAGTGCAATGAATTTAAGCTTCATTTGTTAAGTATTTTACTTTTTTTACAAACGTCTATCTGAACTTTGGTAGGTCTTCAAGATAGTTCTTCTCCTCTTATGGAACAATTAGTCTTTTTCCACGATCACGCATTAAAAATTCCAGTAACGATTACAATATTCGTAGGATATTTAAAATTTATATTATTTTTTAATAAATTTATCAATCGCTATCTCTTACATGGACAATATATGTTATTTACATAACATAATATATTATTTATTGCATACTCATCTCTTCGTTTATTTTATTTACTTGACGAAATCAGAGAGCCCTCCATTACTCTAAAAATTATTGGGTATCAATGATATTGGAGTTACGAATATTCAGATTTTATAGATATTGAATTTGATTCTTATATAATCCTCTCAAATGAGTTAAATTTAGATAGATCTCGCTTATTAGATGTTGATAATCGAATAATTATCCCTATAAATTCACAGATTCGAATTTTAGTAACAGCTGCAGACGATGTTAATTCCTGAACAGTACCTGCACTAAGAGTAGAAGATGATAGCACATCTGCCCGTTTAAATCAAACAAATTTTGTAATTAATCGACCTGGATTATTTTGTGGTCAATGGTCAGAAATTTCTGAGACTAATCCTAGTTTTATAATAATCGTAATTGAAAGAGCTCCTGTAAAAACTTTCATTAAACTAATTACAAAATAATTTAAACTCTTCATTAGATGACTGATAGCAAGTATTGGTTTCTTAAACCACTAAATAATGAAATTAAAAAATTAGTTAAAATATAACATAAGCTAACAAGCTAGTCAAACTTTATTAATTATTAATATTTTTTAATCTCTCAAAAAGACGCAATTAGATGATTAAGTTTATTTATTGCATTTTCAATTATATTTATAATTTTTAATATAATAAATTATTATACTTTTAATCCAACTATACCCAAATAGAAATTTTTAACGAACAAAATATTCAATTCATTAAATTGAAAATGGTAACTAATTTATTTATTGTCTTTAACTTTTCATCAAGAATATCTAAATTGGTTTTCATTAAATTGAATAAGAACGTTTATAGGAATTTTAATGATTCCTTCTTAAAATTATAAAGAATAATTATGTATACATAAAGAATCTAAAGCTTTATTAGACCCTATAAGTCGTAATGGCTTGACGTTTATGTTTGTCTCTTTATTTTCTATATTTTTATTTAATAATTTTATAGGGTTATTTACTTATATTTTTACAAGAACAAATCATTTAACATTAACTTTAACTTTAGCTTTACCATTGTGAGTAATTTTCATAATTGGCTGATTGCATAATACTTAGCATATATTTGCTCGCTCAGCAGTTTGAATACCAGTTAGCACATTAGCAGTACGAGTAACTGCTAATATAGTTGTACAACACCTAGTGTATAATTTTCATTATTTACAATTCTCTTAATCGAAAAAAATAAAACTTAAAATACTTTCGTGTTTCGTGTTGATCTTCACTCTGTTCGTGAAAGATCACTTATGACTATGTTTTCTGTATACAGTTCCCGTATATTATGATATAACCTGACCACTATAACTATCGGGTTGCATTTGTAATAACCTATAAGCTATTTTTGTAAAATCATAAATACAATAAATGTTTTTAAAACCTGCTTACATTTAGTATATTATTTACATATGTAAACGTAATCTTAGATCATTAAGAATAGAATACAAGCATATAATTTGCACGAATAATCATCATTCTTTAAGCGATCATAACATTATGCGTAACTTTCGCCTTTTGTATTTATATCCCACACCTCTTGTCGGTCTCACACGTATGTAACACCCAGAAAGGTTTAAGATAGATCAATCTTTTATTGTATAGATGGACTCAGAATCATTTTCTAAATTGATCTAACTATGTCTCTGTCCACCACTGCTCTATCACAATAAAGTAAGCAGGACTGTAAGACCGGCCTACCTTTATGCAAAAACCTCTGTTCATAAAGGTCTCTCCTGCTAAATGAAGCTATTATGCAAGAGAGAACTATGAAAAGAGAAAAAGTCCAAGGTACATCTGCGTGATTTGGGCATATTATTTTTTGTTTGTTTCTAAAGTTCTGAATAGATTTGGCGAGTACTTTACCATGTTAAGGTCTCGCTCAACGATATTTAAGAGAAAAAAAAGAGAAAAAATTAAACACGAGCAAAATAAAGAGCAAAAGGACAGTCATAGTGAAATACACAACAATGCGGTAGACAGTTCTGGTCTTGATATTTTGTGCGTTGAGTTCAGATTTTTGGTTTGGTTCAGAAAGAAGAGTAGAGTTTTGGTCCTCACACGAAGAAGTCGTAAAAATTGCTGGTTGCTTAACACTAAAGCGTTAGGAGGGACGTTGCAGAACTTAGGGGTTATGGTTCTTAGTGTCGGATGAAATGCATAAAAGTGTTAATAGTAAAGAAAAATAATTATTTTAGAAAACAAAAAATTCAGCAAGTTTTGAGAAATTAATGAGCCTCTGCTTGTGTCCAGTGGGAAAGAAAAAAACAAAGAAAAAAGTAAATGGCCAAAGTTGCGGCACCAATCATTTACACCGCGACAACGCGCGACACTTACGTCATCATAATAAACTTTATAGTAAACGACTCCCAACGGCAATTACCTGCACAAATCGCTAACTTAATGTAAAGGAGAGCACAAGCAGCAGACAAAACTGTTTGCTGGATTCGTCATAAACATCTTCACCATCGCCACCATCATAATAATCGTTTTAGGGGCAGGAAATGAAAATAGAATTTGGAACACCAACGAACGCATTACATACTCATGCGGAGACTTGGGTAATTTACACCAGTTTACTATAACTAATTTATGGTCAGGTTTGTGCGTTCCAGTTAAGAGGAGGAGAGTTGCGCCGGTGGCGGAAACGAATATCCAATTTTTGCCTTGCTGCAGTCAACCAGCCCAGCAGTCATCTTCATCCCTCTGTGTTTCATCGTAAGATAAGTCATTGTTTTAACTTTTAATCTTTATTTTCCCGTTTTTTTCTTTCTTTTAATTATGGTCGAATATATAGATATATATAACGAAAAAAAAAAGAGAAAAACAAATAATATGATAAAAAGAAATATATATAAGAAGGAATTTAAGAGCATAACGCTAACTTTACACTCCGTAACGCACATAATATAAATATGAACAAAAAAAAAAAAGGAATGATGCGTAAGTAAACATTATAGATGAGGCGGAGCATGGGTGAATGTGCGTGCGGATGAGGTAAGGAGACAGGTTCTCACCAAAAAAGATTGTCACCAGAAGTCTGAATATAATAAGAACTTAAAGATAATATGAAGGCGGTATCGCCATCGGCTCACACTTTATGGTGAGAATGAAATGAGATAAAAAGATGTCCGATTTAAATGAAGTAATTACGTGGCAGAACATCTACATGTTTTTGTTGCTTGATGGAAAAATGTTGTTCATTTATATATATATTGTAGTGTGATCGCATACCGTCATATGCACCCACTTTGAAGCAAATTCAGCATAATTCTGTAGCAAAAAGAAAAACAAAAATTTTGTCGCACTTCAACTGGCTAAGTATTGCATTACGAAATGCAATGCGATTAATTAGTGATTACGTTAGCATAATCTCACCTGGTAGAATTAAGTATAAATAGTGTCAATTTAAATAAAGAACTTGAATTGTTATCAAACATCATTGTTCAAACAACAAGCATTTAACTCGCTCCTTAACCAAAGGCGTTCAATCCGCCTCAAACTTGAATGTTAGGGACCGTCTCATGCCGAGACTTATTGGCATTTTAAGAGACGGACAGACTTGGCGCTTATGAAGCCGAGCGGAGTAGGAAATCAACTTACACTTCGTCTTACCAAAAGTACCTTTACGTGGGAAGGATACATAAGGAATCCTCCCAAATAAATTAAATACTATTACAACACATTCTATCACTACAGCACTCTGTTGCAGTAAACATCTTATTCCTTTACAATATATATAAGTCTGCGATTACATTATCGATTTACTAATTGATAATAGAATTGAATCTGAAGAATATCTTTTATTAGTGAACGAAAGGTTAATATTTATTTTTGTGCTATTTATTAAAAGGCTATTAAATAACTCCCGTAGGGTTCGTTGTAAGACAGAATGAATTTTAGACTATTTTTTTTGCTTGTGAAGCAATTATTAGAGACAACTGAATGACTTCTGCTATCAGTAACAGTAATAGTGGTAGTAACGCAGTTAATTGCAGCCATTTGACTGCATGCTCTTTGATTCTCAATATTTGTGTAAACACGAATTCTGTTGAACTCTTTGACCGTATCAAACATTTGCAAAGCAGAAGCATAAAGAAAAAATATGCGTTACGGTGTACATAGAAGTACGTAGGTGTAAACATATTTAATTTCTCTTTCATGTTTTATTTCATATTGAAGAAATTTTACACATTTAAACATTTAATTTTCTTAGGAGCTCAATTGAAGATCATTTCTATCGTAATGTCAGGTTTATATGCTTCACGCATATTTCACAATACGCAGGCAGATATTTTGCTGTGCAGAAAATCAAAAGCTACACTAACGGAGAGATGGTTGCTCAAAACGTACAAAAGCAATCATCTCTATAGAACTGGTGCAACTGTTGGTGTTTTGTATTAAAAATTCTTTACCAATGCCTAATACTGCATTCGGTAAACAACATAACAGGTCATCAAAGGTAAATTTTTCGGTACGGGAGAAGGAGAACTGTGATGACGGCAAAAAGAAGACGAGAAAAAAAAGAAGAAGATGCCGGACGGGGAAAGGTGTCTCTATGTGGTGTGTACGAAAAAAAATACAATATTTTACAAAAGACACGGAACTATTTCAGAAAATGCTTAATAATTTGTCTAGTTAAATGTGTGAGAAGATTAATGGTTTTAAACAATTCAAAAAAGCGTGTGGAAATTTTTTATAATTCTCGTTGACGCCACATTTGTTGGTGATGCCTTGACGCTATGGAAAAGAAGAAGACGTTGAGGATAAAACTATAGGATGACTAGGAAAATTGTCACGACTTCTTTATATGGAAGAAAAGATTGAATAAATCCTGAAGAATGTTAATGAATAGTTTAAGAACTAAATAAAAGATTTAAAAAAAGAAAATAAAATAAAACCAAAACCTGACGAATAAATCTATCGAAATTGTGTGTCTTATATAGTGTGAAGCAGTATGTTACTTAAATGAAATATAAAACCCAAGTAACATATATGCATCAAATTTGTAATTGCAAATTGTGGTTTTTTTTTTTCTTTTTTATACAAATAAAAAAATTATAAATGAAATAACTTTTGGAATTTGCCAAAAGTGCTTTTGGCATGCCAATATAAACACTGGGAAATCTTATTAATATATTTTGCAAAAATATGCGACGACAACAATAGCACCAAAAAAAAAAAATATTGTTTCAACGAAGTTTACTTTGTGTGTAGAACAACACCAAATAATGAATACAATCAACAATGTGAATGCAGTAGCAAAGCGATAACCAGCGTCAATAGTAAAATAGGATTGAGAACACTTCAACATAGCGTACACAACATCAGGATCAACAATTTATGCATTTTGTTCTATTATGAGGATTATAAAGTATTAATTTTTTGCATATATATATGGACATCATTGAGAGCATGATAGGTACAGCATGTGTTGATAGATTGCGACGAAAGGATAGACAACGAAGGGGCCAACAAATAAGGACAGCGGTGACACTCGTTTGACGTTACAAATCTGTAACACGGATCCTAGACGTGACGAGCTTAACTCGCTTATATAGAGATGGAGAAATATCATGCATTCTGAATTCCAACAAAACTCAGGAAAATAAAAATTGAACCTGTGCACTCTTAATGTGCATTAGG